ATGATCCTGGGCCAGAAGGCTGAAGATCAGATGCTCCAACGTTTTGTAGTATAGAGACTGTCCAGGTGTAGCGGTCTCTATAAATTGGCTAAGTTTTAGAAGCTATGCTTTGTGCTTCCCATAATTTCAGTTAATTCAGTCATTCTGGATTTCTGGCAGGGTTGAAGACTTATGGTCTCATAGCCAATCCTGGCTATTTACTTTGAGAGAAAAGATTTGAGAGGATGATTTTCAGCTGACATTCATTCTAAAGCCAAGAAAAAAGACAGGTTCAGAGCTAAGTCTTTTAGTTAGGAGAGATGACAGAGGTTCTGGTTAGTCAACATAATGTTGGAATGGGTATTAGATCTATCTTGTACCTTACTGATACAAATTGGTATAATTACGCCCTAATTGTATTTTGAGAGAAAAGTTTTATTTTAACAGGAAGGATGATGTGTAGGAGGAGCTAAGGTGGGAGGAGTAAGGAGAGGAAGAGGAGGAGTAAGGAGAGGAGGAAGAGAATGAGAGGAGGAGCTAGGAGATGGGGGACATGGAGGTGGAAGTTCGAGTGTCTCCACCAAAGATAGTTGGTATATCTAGGTTGGGTATTGGGTTACACTTCTGATTGTATGGGCATCTTGTTATTGAGCATTACCAAACCTATAAAGCCTTTGATTAACATTTTTTAAAAAGTTACTAATTAAAAAAAAAGGTTGAGAAGGGAGGGTGATGGAATACATGTAACAGGAAATCAAATGAGGAAATTTAGCTGGAGGAAGAAAGGGAAGGGGCAGAGGGAAACACATCATAACTCTAATACACATGTATGAGGATGCTGTAATAAAGCTCAGTATTTTGTATGTTAACTTAAAATACTAATAAAGAAAAAAAAGCAAGAATGACGAGGGGGGATAGGATAGAGGGGGTTCTGGGAGAGGAATGGGGAAAAGGCATGACATCTGAAATGTAAATAAATAAAATATCCAATAAAAAAAAAAGAATGGCTTCACAGAGATATGTTCCTTACTGTTTGTCACTGACAACTGTTCTTGTCATTCATCATGATTATCAGGTATGGCTTTGCCTACAAGAGTTCAGTGAACTTTTTGAGAAATATACACCACATTCAAATACTCTTCCTGGAGAACCAAACCGGTAACAGGAAATGTCAGCATCATTAGTTGTATATTAAGTTTCATTAAAATCAGAACTTTGAAATAATTAGCTTCTGCTGCTTCCCCGAGTGGTAATTACAGACCACTAGGAAGTGTCATGCTCATCCAGATTTCCTTTTTTAAAGCATCACACATTAAAGATAAGGAATTATTTCAAAAATAACCTCAGATATTTTTTAGCTGTGGGTTATATAAACATAATTTTCTGAGTATGATTACTAATAAAAATCTCTCATAATGTAGGAAATATAAATTTGATTGGACTCAATAGTGAAATAAAATGTTAATATGTGTCATTATGTTTGAAAGTCAAGTTTAGAGCTAAAAATGTCTGCACTGAAATAGGTTTAGAGGATTCTCAGCCTTCACTCAGAATTAAGCTTTTATCTTCTGCTTCTAATTGTTGTTGAAAGTTATTTACTCAATGCCAATTAGAAAAATAAATCATAGTCTTAAATTATTCAGTTTCACTTTAATAGAACAGTCTCTTTCTGCTCCTGCTGGTTCTGCCTCTTAGGAATAAGCTCCCACTCACTGAATCTTAGCTAGTGATTCACAAACCCTGTTTCTTCCTGACACCCACTGTCCATGGTCCGAGGTTAATGAAGAAGTTTGCTGGTAGGCAAGGAACTTGTCATGCACGCTGGTCACAACAGCTAAGCACAGGATGTTTTAGCCACAGAACTCTGATCAATTAAGTCTTCCTGAGATACCCTGGATCCTACTGTCATGGGCCCATGTAAATGAGGCAAGGCACAGCCACATTCCACAATGAACTGCTTTCTACATCACTGACAATCAAGGCATCCATCTGCCTGGGGTTCATATGCCTTCCTTTGAAAACCTATATCAAAGATTATCCTCATAGGGCAAAGGGGGCTGTTACCATCCAAAGGCAAAGCTTGTTGTTGTAAAGCTACTTCTTTTTCCGTAACTCTGCCATTGAGAAGCAGAAGATCAGACCTTTGTGTTTTCATCCTAGTCTCCAGTTGTATCACTGGACTGTACACTGTCTTTGCTTTCATAATCCTCAGCTGTTACCCCAGAGAAAATTCCACTATGGAGACATAAGAAATGTCAGACATTATCACTCCAATGAACAGTAAAATCTCAGTGATTTAGACTTGGATCACATAAAAATTATTGTCTATTAAAAGCTTAGTGCTGAGCGATCCCATCTTTAAACTTAAATAAAAGATATTGAGAGGACCATTTTTGAATAATTTGCATTTTATAATTTTTGATAGGTAAATGTTGATTATCTTCTATTAGTAAAGACACATGGCAGAAAAGTAACGCGTGGGACAAAGAAATAGAGCAAAGCAGACAGAAAAGACCATGGCGAGACACATTAATAAAAGCATAAAAGTTGGGGCAGCTGACTGAGCAGTGTGATTCAGACTAGAGATCCATCACAGGATAGATGGGCTAGTGAGTGGAATGAGATGAATTACAGGGAGATACTTGGAAAAGAACACGGTGTAAAAAAGAACTTGGGGAGAGGCTATCAAAACACAGAGGAAGAGAGCTGTCAGGCTGCATTTGACTTTCAGGAGTGAGTGGAGAGACAAATACAGGCAGACTTGAATTTCTAAGTAGCAGATCTCAGCAAAGGTTGCACTCAGGACATGGCACTGTTTTTAGTAACACCCCCCAAAGCAGGGAAGCCTACAGAGAAACTGTATATACCTCTGTGGGATCACACAATTGGAGAGTAAAGTCAGTTGATCCAGTGAGTGCCACCGTAGAGTAAAATCTAAGAAGAGCCAGAGCAGTGAGACAGTGAGAGGGAGAAGGCTGATGATGATGAAGGGGAGGCTGAGGCTAGCCTTCTAAGGAGCACCTACTGACCTAATATTTCCCCCTGCTGGGGGGCATCTCAGGAATTCCAACTCTGTTGGAAAAGCTTGGTCATTTTTACTAGTGGCATCAGTGCCTGGAGGAATGCAGAACAATGGATCAGAGAGAGGAAAGAGTCCATTTTTTTCCAGGACATTTCTTATGCTAGAACATTCGAATTCCAGGCAAAATATCCAGGGTGAAATATTGTGTACCCACTATCAGGCTTCTGTCAACATGATCTCTTTTATGTAGATGTCACTGTAGAGCTGAACTGAGGGCACAAACTTCAGATAGCAATTGTGGAAGAGAGCCGAGCATGAGTTTAAATTGTAGTTTATATCAGAATGAGCACTCATGTTTCCTACCTAGACATCGACGACAGCCTCTTCTTGGTATGTTTCTACCTCAGTCCCCAACCCCCAAAATGAAAACAAGTCAGGACCAGGAAAATGGCTTAGTGGTAAAGGGGCTTGCTGCAGAGTCTTACAGCCTGAGATCAATCCCTGTGGTTCAGTTAGGGTTTCCATTGCTATGAGGAGACACCATGACCAAGGCAACTCTTAGAAGACAAACATTTAACTGGTGCTGGCTTAGTTTTAGAGAATCAGTCCATTATCATTGTGGCAGGAGGCATGATAGCATCCAGGCACACATGGTGCTGGTGTTAGAAAAGCTGAGAGATCTACATCTTGATCTGAAGACAGTCAAGAGGAAACTCTACACTGGGTGGAATTTGGGCACTAGGAGCCCTCAAAGCCTGCCTACACAGTGACACTTTTCCTCCAATAAGGCCACACGTATTCCAACAAAGCCATATCTCCTAATAGTACCACTTCTCATGGGCCAAGCATATTTAAACCATCAACCCTGGAAGGAAAGAACCAAGTTTCATGGGTTGTTCTCTGACCTCCAGTTGAAAGAAAGCTCTGGCTCATGTGTCCACATATTTACAAACACACACACACACACACACACACACACACACACACACACACACCACACTACATACATACATACATACATACATACATACATACATACATACATAGTATAAAATGTCACAGCTTAGGGAAGAGTGGAAACTTCTGGGGCAGAATTCATGCCATGAAAGCTCTACAGATAAGGAAGAGTCCCAGGATTACATTACATAACGCAACTGAAGTCACATAATATAATCATGTATATGCAAAAAGCCGTGTTCTGAGAAACATATCTTTACTTGGTTTCATCACCATGTGAACAGCACAGTGTATTTGCGTTTCTGTCAAAAGACAGTGACTCTTATGGGTTCCCAGGAATATCTGAGCTACTGAAATCTCAAGCTATGGTCTGTGATAAGAAGTGATTAGTAAAGCTCGTATAATATCTAGATTAATGAATAAGCAGATAAACAACTACATACAAGGTGCAGCCAATCCTGAGCTGCATGAGTTAACTTCTACTATAAACAAATATAAACTTCTACTATAAACAAATCCTGAGCTGCATGAGTTAACTTCTACTATAAACAAATATAAACAAATCCTGAGCTGCATGAGTTAACTTCTACTATAAACAGATATAAACTTCTACTATAAACAAATCCTGAGCTGCATGAGTTAACTTTTACTATAAACAAATATAAACTTCTACTATAAACAAATCCTGAGCTGCATGAGTTAACTTCTACTATAAACAAATAGAGCTGTGTTCTCTGTCCATCGGGGCTCCTGCCTCTGTCAGGCTTTCTCAGGGAGTGGATTAAAATGTCATACACAGAAGTCTCCAAAAATGGAGACTGCTCGAATCGTCAACCTATTCTCTATGTAGAATAGGGCCAGGTTGTAGAGTGAATGAAACTGCCAATCATGCCTAGGACCTGACATCTCTGAGGACAGTAAGGCTTCAGCCAAGTCCTGCTGAAAGCAGATCTAAGTAGACACTTCTCTCTTCCCTGTCCAGGCCCATCCCTGAATTTCTCACCCACCCCCTAAAAGAGAATTTTTGTTTGTTACCTCTTACCGACATTTATTTTGGCAATTCTTCTCTGAGAGTCCGTCCTCATCCTCTCCCATGATGTCCACAGCTGAAAAGATCAGCGCGACCAGGACGGCGAAGCAGCAGACCAGAGCAAAGATCACGATGCACTTCTGCTGGGACTGGAATAGGAGAAGGGAGAAACGTCAGGGGCCACGGCCCGGAGGAGGCTGAGATTTTTCAAAACACCAGCGTGTCCTCTGGGATTCATTACTATGTGGTGGCTAGAAAAGAGTCACTCTTCAGGTACAAACGCCGAAGGTTTTTATGTTTATCCAGCAACACAGTCTTCAACCCCTAGTACGTTAAACAGCTCTCAGTGTTATGCAGGCTTCAGGACCAGCCTGTCCTTTCCAACCCAAAGACAGGCTACAAATGATGGCTACAAACAGCAGCCACAAGATCTAGAAGTACAGATGCCAGAGTGGTGAACTTTGCAATGGACATAGCTTTTTTCTTCTTCTTCTTCTCTCGATGTCATGAATAACATTCACATACTTGATTTTCAATTAGAACTTGAAGGTGCTGGCTGCAAAGGCCACTAGTTGTCTCACTCTTCAAGTCCAAACACTGCAATTTCAGATGCTTCTATATAGAGCCCTGTGGCTCCAGATAGTGGAACGGGGTAAATGGGTGAGATTCGTGAGCACCTGGACAAATGGTTTTTGCCTGGTTTCCCTCTGCAGGTATCTGAATGGTTGTGCCCCATTTCTCAAGTTTATGCTAAAATCTCATCTCACCATATGCCCTCCACACTGATGGTTTTTGGGGTCAGAGTTTTCTGGAAGGCAGTAGGTTGTGAGAGTAGAGCCTTCCTTAACCAAGAAGTGACTGTAATAACCCTAGAGAGAATCTCTGTCCTTTGTAATGTGTTAGGAGGCAGAGCCAGGAATAATGCCCTTTGCCCTGTTTCATCTTGCCCCCTTGTAAAATAGGGATAACAACATCAGCTACTTTGTAAGGGTGCACTGAGGAATCAAATCATATGAAGTGAGTTATTTTATGCAGACAACCTGTGTCGTGACTAGCTGATATACTCCATGAACACTACTCACTGGTGAAACACACCTCTGTGTCTGAATAGCTGGCAAGGATTCTTCACCTATTCTAGGGGTCATTTCTGATGCTTTGTCAAACTTTCTAACTTCATGTGAGCCCACATGTCAGTTCTTACAATTATTTCCAGAATGATTGGAGTCTTATTCAGAAAGTCATTTTGTGCTTATATTTTGAGCCATTTCCACTGGTTTTCTGTCCTCAGACTTTCAAAGTTTTAGGGCTTCGATTAAGGTCTTTGTTCACTGTACAGTCTAGAATAGCTTCAAATTCATAGCCCTTTGGCCTCATATTCTCATGTACTGGGATTAGTTTCCTATACTTTTGCTAGAAGTTGTGCACAGAAATAAACAACAAAAGCCTTTAGAAGAGTTTAAATTAATAAAAACCTATTTACCCATTAAAAGCCTCAGTGCAGGGAGCTAAATCTGGACAATATAATTAAACATTATCTAAAAAAACCCAAATCTGTAGATAGCATCCGTAACATATATCAGGTACAGAGTAGGAGCTGACAAATGAGCCCTAGTGAAAACTAAATGCCTAAGCTATAACAATATTGATTTGTTTCTCTTTGTTCTCAATGTCATGACAAATCAGTAAATGAAAACCCTGAGTAATTTGTTTTTCATTGGAAGTTCTTTGATGTAATAAACTTTCACATTTTCATTAACTTCTATTAATTTAATTCCATGTTATTAAATTCTGTTTGAGCAGTTTAGCTAGTATTTTCATTTTAATTTACCAAAGAAGAGACCCCCAGACTCTGACCCTCATTTCAAAATGAGTCCTTGGAGCACTGTACTTTAACAACATAAGGTCACACTAAGACTATTTCATTTAATTTCTATCTCATCAAAGTGAAAAAATATATTCAAATGATTGTAAAAAACTCTCATGAGACCAAACTTCAGGTTATAAAGAGAATTCTTAATTTTAACTCCTGAATAGATCATTCCAGAAACTGGTATGAACCATACTTTCATGTTTCTATTGAACTGACTCAAAGGAAATAGTTTTAAGAAGAACCAATAGACATGCATACAATCCAAACTTCATTGATACACTCAGCATGTGAAAGGAAACTGAAGGTTGAAATAATCAACTAGTTAAGCTTTCCACTGAAGTTCTTCTATAAATGCAAATAAGTTAGGTTCTTGGTGAATAAATACATACACTTACACTAACATTTAAAGTATTTGAAAGTTTTATGCACTTTACCTCAAGTAAGAAATAGATACATGAGACCTCTGACTAGAGACAGAGTATTATACTTGAAAATTAGAAATATTTCCAACAAGGCTTCTATATTATTTAACAAGCAGTGAGAAATTTACACCCATGAACATAAAGGTGAAATTTAAAAATTCATGTTGTCTTTCATTATTTACAAGTTCTATTTATTTCTGAGTTTATAATATAATTATAATATTTCTCCCTTTCCTTCTCTCACTCTAAACTTCCCCAACAATACCTCTCAATTCTCCTTCAAATCATGACCTTCTCTGTCATTAAATGCTATTACATATGTATTAAATATATGGTACATATATACATGTATTTTCCTAAATATAACCCTGTAGGAGTAGCTACAGTAGGAGGAGTAAGGAAAGGAAAAGGAGGAGTTGGGAGAGGAAGAGAAAAAAGGAAGAGGAGGAGCTAGAGAGGGTAGAGACATAGGAGGATGGAGAACCACACAGGTATGGAGTGCACTCGTGGGGAACAATTTATAAACTTATAATTAGGTTAGCTAATTGGGATACAACTCTCTTTGTATGGGCATCTTGTTATTAATCATTATCAAACATATAAAGCTTTTGATTAATCTATAAGAATTAGAGCTTCATTCTCTTACTGGGCCTGTATGGATGGCAGAATGGTCTGGGCAATGCCCTGCCTTTCAGAGACAGCGTGGAAGATTGGCAGAGCCATCTCTCATGCTGGCATCTAGTGGGTGGCAGGGCTGGTGTTTCTGGTGGGCCGTTCTAGCTGCAGTGCGCATGTGGCCTCAGGCCAAGAAACATGGTGGTTGGGCTAGGCAGAGCCGCTGCAGCTTAGATAGTCGGATTAACAAGTGGCCGATTTTAAATAATTACCACAACATAACCCACTCAGTCTATATAGTGTTAAAGTTCTTTTCAAAGAAAACTAACAAGGTTTTAAAAACATGTCCAAGTTTAAAAATACAACACATTTATTTTATTTATCTACCTCTTAATCTCTGCAAAGCTGGAATTTCTAGAAAAAAATTTTTCCAAGGAGAGATGTACCAACAAAGACTCAAAGACATTTGAGTGATTCAATGACAAAGATGACCCAAAAAGTTGGAAATAATCTGGTTGGTTAATTCAGGTTTCTAGATCCAGATACTATAGATTTGTTTATAAATTTAAGTATTTTTCTTTATGATTTTCAAGTTTTTGCCTTTATTTTCTACTTAACATCAAATTTAGTTATTTCGTTATTGCCATTAGTTTTAGTCAACAGATCTCCAATGGTAGAAATCAAGGTTGAACAGCTGGCTCTGTGTCATAGCATCACAGAGTTGCTGGATCTGTATTATTAATTCAGGATATAATATATTTTGAGTTCTTACCCATGGTCCCAGGAAAACATATCACCTAGAAGATCCAGAGTCATCTTTTTTGGTGACTTACCAAGTTGTAGAATAATGATTTCATGGTAGAACCAAATCAGAAGACCTAGACTATGTACTGCATAAGGGGTCTGGGGGGAATCTTTACTGTGAATACCACTTCCTCCTCATATTCTTTAGGATCCTTAGTGTGATACCTCTGTCCTCTGCAGCCCTTCCATGAACTATGTAAATGTTCTGCCAAAGTCATATAAAATGTGGTCAGTGACCTAGCATGGATCCTGCACCCCTACACACCAGAGAAATGCTGAACGAGCCCTGGGAACAACAGTATAGCAAAGGGGAAGCATATACATAGCTCACCAATAGAAGCCAAGAAGAGAAAGCTAGGGGTGACAAAGATCAAATCAGCTAAAGCTAGCAGGAAGGGGGGGGAAGCAGGGAGAGAGAGAGAGAGAGAGAGAGAGAGAGAGAGAGAGAGAGAGGAGAGGGAGAGAGAGAGAGAGAGAGAGAGAGAGAGAGAGAGAGAGAGATCCACAGAAGAGCTTCAGAAAGTCTCACTGAGTTTTGAGTTGAGTACAAATCAGCACACATATGTGAAGGAGCCACTTGTAAGAGATGCCACTTGAAAGGAATGAGTAGAACAAACTTTGACCTACAATAGGACCAAAGGGAGCTAGTATTCCTAATGCCCAGAGTATCTGGGGGAGGGGAGTATCCTATAATGCATGGGCACCAAGCTCCAGATACCACTTGATGTCAAAAAAGATAATTATGAGAAAGTAAGATAAATAAAATATATAAGTAACATAATCTAAATTTTAGACATTAAAAAAGTCATCGAAGGGAATTAGCGGATTAACTACAACATAAGAAACAATGTAGTGATCTCTATGGAAATAAAGGATATAATAGAAAACATTTTACTATCAGTATTCATTAAGGAACTTTATTGTTCCAGGGATATACAAGGGCTCTTACGGTTACAAGTGGAAAGGGCTGATTGGTCATAACACAACACCTAATTATATGTGTGAGGAGCCAGAGTGGGACTCCTGTGCTGAGTCACGCAGTGCTTCCAGAGAGCTCTACAGAGGGTAGTTTTTCAGATAATATTGGGCGTCTGTGTTCAGAGACTCTCTCCAAGTAGAGATAGGCAGATAAAGGAAAGCCCCACTGAGAAAGGGAGTCCTCCATTTTGTGCGGTGCTCAGAGAGTCATCTGGACATAGTGGACTTTGACCTTAATAGCAGGGTTCTCCAACACGGAACCAAGAGGGCTAGTGCACAGCATATATGCAACTAATAAATTTACATAAATGCATTAAACAAAAGTGGCTCAAACAGAATGAGAAATTAAAAATTCTCATCTATTCAGTGATTTTTAAAAAAATACTTTTCTCATTAATGAGTTGAGTTATGTGGTGAGAAACCAGTATGCATGTAGAAAATTTGAAGAATGCTAATGACT